AAGATTTATACTTTTTTTTTATCATGAGGCTCTCAAGTATTTGAATTCCCAGCAAAAGATTAGTCGCAGACATGCTCGTTAGAGTGAACTCTTATAGTCTTATTCATTCCTTATTAAACATAAGGCTGGAACTCTGAACTCCATAGCTGATGCCCTTAGTCGTTGCCATGTGCTACTTACAACACTACAAACCAAGGTTGTTGGATTTAACCTTGTCAAAGAGTTGTATCAGGATGATCCTAATTTTCAAGGAGTGTGGGAAGCAATTGTAAATTAACCTTTCCACTAGTTCTAAAGATACGATGGGTTTTTATTTCGAGGTAAAACCCTCTGTATTCTACAAGGTTCATTGAGAGAAGCCATAATTTGGGAAGCACATGATGGTGGATTAGCTGGGCATTTTGGACGAGACAAAATAGTTGACCTCATGAAGGAGAACTTTTACTAGCCTCGACTTGAATGGGATGTCAATAGGCATATACAAAGGTGCAGAATTTATCACTTGGCTAAATCCAAGGGTTAGAATTCGAGATTATACATGCCTTTGACAATTTTAGAAGCACCTTGGGAAGATATAACTATAGATTTTATTCTGGGTTTACCATGAACTCAGAGGCAAAAAGATTCTGTCATGATGGTTGTGGATCGTTTCTAAAAAATGGCCCATTTCGTTCCATACCAGAAGACTAATGATGATATTCAAGTAGCAGACTTATACTTTAAGGAGGTTATGCGTCTTCATGGCATTCCCAAGACTATCACTTCTGACCATGATGTGAAGTTTATCGGCCACTTTTGGTGGATGCTATGGAAGAAGATGGTAACTAAGCTCCAGTTTAGCAGCGCTAGTCATACCCAGACAGATGGTTAAACTGAAGCTATGAACATGATTCTTAGTAATCTTCTTCGTAGTTTCATGGGAAAGAATTTGAAGCAGTGGGATCTCATTCTTGCTCAAGTTGAGTTTGCTTATAATAACTCTATCAACCAAGTAACTGGGAAGTGTCCGTTTGAAGTTGTTTATGGCACTCGTCCCCTTAGTCTACTAGACTTAACCCCTTTACTTGATAAGCAGTAATATAGTTCTGACGCTGGCCAAAGGGCTAAGAAAATCAAGAAGTTACATGAACAAGTTCGTACATGAATACAGAAGCAGAACTTGAGATAGAAGACTCAACGGGACAAGCATCGGAAGTATCAAACTTTTAACGTGGGTAATTTGGTTTGGATACATTTACGAAAGGAATGATTTCCTAAACAACTAAATGCTAAGCTGTCCCCGAGAGCTGATGGTCCGTTCAAGATAGTGCAAAAGATCAACAACAATGCTTATGGGTGGAATTACTTGGTTCTTATGGTGTATTTGCCACCTTCAATATCACTGATCTATCTCCGTATGTTGATGAAGATGATGAATTTGACTTGAGAGCGAGTTCTGCCCAACCCGAGAAGGATGAAATGGAAAAATAAAAGAGTAGAAATGGAAGTTACATAATGGAGCACAATAAACTCTTTATAACCTCCCCTTAATTCTTGTAACCTCCCTTTTATTTTGTAAGCTTCAGTTTCATGATCCTAAAACTATAAATAGGGCCCTTGTGGCTGTGTAAGGTAGCTCAGTTTTTTTGAAAGAATAAGAATTGCTTGTTTTCATTCAGTTTCTATGCCATTTTGACTTTTCTTCCCTTTTTAGCTATCATAAATGAATGTGTTGAGAGCAAGTTTTGAGCAAACTAAAGATTGAAGCTTAAGAGGATGTTTCTATATATGGCTACTGCTACTTGCTTTATAATGTATTGCAAACTTGTACTCATATTTAATATAAGAAGCTGTACATATACACGTAAATTACTCGCTAGCTCACTTGCAAATTTTAGCTTCTTTTTCGAAGCTAGAAATATAAATGCATTGATTGACTATTTTAGTTAAGTAGATAGAATAAAGAAGCAAGGGTTGTGCTTGGGTGATGTAATAAAAGTAAGGAATTAACATATTATTTGCTTGAAAATATTAGATTTATGTTATCTCTCCTTGTGATAAGATAAGGAAGATGGAGACAAAATTCTATTTTGCTATTGCTTTAGGAAAAATGTTAAGAAAAATTCATTGAGGAAATTTTGCAGGACTGTGTTGATGAATGGAGAAGTATGATTGGTAGTTTATGGATTAAGTTGTTGCTTTATAGGTTACATTTTGAATGCACATAAAATGTTTGGTAAAAGTTTTGATAGAAGTTTTAGTGTAAATTTATTGGATTTACATTTTTAAATAGGAAGTGAAGATGTTTCTTTATAACTCTAAAGAACTATGGTCAAGAGTTAAACTGAAAGGGGGGGATCTAGTTGGATATGTTAAAAGAGTTGAAAATATAATTTTAGGTATGGTTATTGTGTTGGTCACAAAAGTATTTATATAAATTATAGTAGGGATTGGAGAAAGTAATATATAAATTATGTAGACTTGAGAGCTTAGTTGATTACAGTATTGTTAATATTGAAAAGAGTTTATTACACTTGAATGAGGGTCATCAAATTGTCTTTTTTATTTTACATAGGGTGTTTAGAGCTTAGAAGAATTGATTGAAGTCTTAAAGAGTAAATTTTATACTTGAGAACATTATAGGTAAGTGGATAACATCTCAATCAATTTCTATATTAGCAAATCTTCTTTTATCAAAATATTGTTTTCAACTATTTGCAATGATTAATATATATATTTTTTCTTGCATTAGCTATTTTTATTAATTAAATTGTTTTATTTCTTGAAATCATGGTATATAATTGAAAGATTGATGAAAATGCTTTTACATATTCTAGTACTCATTTGTTTGATAGAGATAATCACGGAAATTGGTGAAAGAGTTTGAGATATTAGTTATGAATTTTCATATTTAAAAAGACTGATTATTTTAATTGGCTCATGCGAGTTTGATACTGATAAGAGGAACTTATATTTTGAAAAACAACTATTTTCTTGCATGTTTGAAAATGGTTTTTCGAAGGGACTATATGCAGAATATTGGTTGCTAACGATAGCTCCATTAGCTCTTAGTACGCCATGGTCAATGACTAGCTAGTTTGATTTTCGTGAGCTATGCTTTCACTTTTATTATTCATGGGTTTAACACTTGCGTTTGTTTCATAGCTCAGGCTGTGTTTGGTTACTTACCCTCGTGGATTGTGTGGCCACATTTGTTTCGTAACTCAAGCTGCGTTTGGTTACTTACCCTCATGGACTGTGTGTCCACGTTTGTTTCGTGGCTTGGGCTACGTTTTGTTACTTACCCTTGTGACTATGTGTCCGCATTTGTTACTCATTTTGCAAAGTCCTCAGATTTAATTGATTTGTGAATACATGTACATGCTTTATTGATTTTAAAAATAGTGAATGTTACTACTTTTATTTACTTAATTTATTTTATTTTATTGTACAAGATCAAATGTTAAGTTTTGCTATTGTAAATTTACTGGTTTGGTATATTTGAAGTTATATAGAATCTCTTAATCTCCAAATTAAGTTTTTTTTTTTATTTTGTTGATATTCTCTTTTAATGGTGTGCTAATTTTCTTGATGAATTTGTTATCTGGAATCTTTCAAATTTTATTGTTGGGATGTGATTCATTGGAAAATATTTTTGGTCTCAAATAGTATAGATGGCTTTGGACTTCCAAATGATCATTGAGGGGTGTACTTCTAAACTGGAGTTGAAGCTTTATCTTGGTTAAATTTCTAATTATTATAGAACTTTGAATTTATATGTCATACTTTGTATTTTGTAAATTTTCTCCTAGACGCTCCACATAAACTATAGTTAGGATCCTCATTTAAATTTCCTATATTGATTTTATGATAGGAGTAGAGCTCCTATTATTATCTTGTGCTGAAAAATGTTGTTGTAGAATTGTTAGTGCATCCTATTTTAGAGGAGTTTATGTGAAAATTGCTAAGAAAGTTCATGATTTTGTGTTAATTATGCGTGTATTGAAAGAAATCTATTTTGTGTAATAAATGGGTTGTGGTTAAAATTAAACATTTTCTATAATATGAAGGCTCTAGGGATGTGAATTTATACATATTCTGTGCCAGTCACACCTTAAAGTTTGAGGTGTGACAGTAACAGCTTTAATCTTTCAACCATCTACCTCAACACCTTAGGTCAAAACAAAATGACCCAGATATTCAATCTTGGATTGTCCAAAAATACACTTTGAAAGCTGAGCAAAGAGTTTGTGCTTGATAAGCAACGACAAAGTCAGTTCAAGGTGTTCCATGTGTAAATCCCAAGACCCACTATAAATGAGAATATCATTAAAGAAAACTAAGATGAATTTTCTTAAGAATGGCCAAAATATATCAATCATGAGTGCCTGAAAAGTTGCCGGTGCATTTGTTAAACCAAATGGTGTAACGATCCATTCATAGTGACCATGATGCGTACGGAACGCCGTTTTAAAATGATCTGAAGGTTTAACCAGAATTTGATGATAACCCGAGCGAAGGTCGAGCTTAGAAATGTATTTGGAACTATGTAATTCATCTAACAATTAATCTACAGTAGGTATTGGGTATGCATCTTCAATAGTAACTGCATTAAAAGCTCGATAATCTATACAAAATCACCAAGTTCAATCTTTCTTCTTAACCAAGATAACAGGGGTAGAAAAAAGGCTTTGACTTGGTTGAATCAACCTATCACGCATCATCGCTTCAATTTGGCATTCTATTTCAGACTTTTAAACAACTGGATATCTGTATGGTCTGACTTTCACAGGTGGAGTGTTCTGAATGAGAGGTATCTGATGATCATGAGCTCTAAAAGGTGGTAATCCGTGAGAAACCTGAAAGAGTGTTGAATCGCTGTAGCAAAGCTCGCGATCATGTGGCAATTCAATCGAAAGTTCCATTGGATATGATGTTGGCATATCGAGTTGGACAGTAGTGGTGAGCATGAAAAACTCAACAATTGCACTTGTAGAAGACATTCGATGTAAATGTTGTAACTAAACTGGTTGAGGTGAGGGCAAATGATACCCCTGTGATACCATGAAGCTATCATTAATTAGACATTTTAGAGTATCTGTGTGATAATTTGCAATGCGGTTGCCCAAAGTGGCTAACCAGCTCGAGCCAATAACCAAATCGGATCCTGTAATAGATAGTACGTAGGCCCCTAGATCTAAGGGCTGGCCCTGTATAGAAACTGAAATGTGACTATCATACCCTTCCCCAGTCATGTGGAACCCATCACCAATTGGAACATGAAGTGGACGTTGAAGTTGCTCAACAGGCAATTTTAAGCATTGTACTATGCAAGGATGAATGAAATTATCCGAGGCTCCTCCATCTAATAAGATTTGCACTATCATGTCAGTAATGGCGCCTGAGAAACGTATAGTGCAACGGCTGCCATTGCCCTGAAAAGTCTGAAGGGATAGATGGTGTAAAGTGTCTGTGTCAGCCTCCTCTGTGATAGGTGTGTCAGCGTCATTTGGTAAATCCGTTTTAAGTTCTATATCATCAGCACCTGTAATCAACATCAACAATTGCTTATTAGGAAATTTATGGTTCCACGTAAATTTTTCATCACAATTATAATAAAGTGTGAACACGGTATTTTATTCAAATATTTTTTAAATTTAATAAAAATAATAATAAATAATCTAAAAATATATAAAAGTAAAAAAATAAAATTTAATTCTTTTTATGATTATATTTTTAAAAAAATATAATTAAGAGGGTTTAATTTTTATTTTATCCTAGATAATTTTTTGTTGATTAAGACTTTATTTCTTTTAGTTCATTAAAATAACCAAAAAATATAAAAATATAAAAATATAATTTAATTATTATTTAGGATTATATTTTCAAAAAATAATAATAATTTAAAAAAATAAAAAAAGGTCAAATCTTGAAAAATCTCTCCCAAATTATCTCAACCATTCAAAATATTAGGAGTTAACTTTTAAGAGTTAACTTTTCTCCCCTTAAATCTTATTTTTCATTTTAATATGTGTGTGTTTGTGTGAATCTAATTAAAAAAAAAAAAACATTAGAAGCAATAGGCGTGTGTGTGTGTGTGTGTGTGTGTGTGTGTGTGTGTGTGTGTGTAATAGGCTTGATGAAATGCTGATATCAGCATTTCATCACAGCCTTAAGAGGCTTCTTGCAAACACGACCAGAGAGGTCATGAAACAGAGAAAGAAAAAAAACAAAGAGAAAAGAGTAGCATGCACACACAAAACACACGTAGAAAAGAAAGCCAGAAATGCAACAAAAAAAAAAAAGGGAAAAGCTTTTGGAGAGTAGAAAGCAGGCTCATGTACAGAGAAAGAAATACAGAAGACGTGCACGACAGAAAACAAAAGTGAAAGAATGCCAGAGGCACACAGAGAGAATGCCAGATGAAATGCAGAGAGAGATGCATATGAAGAAAGCAAGCAGAGAAATGCCAGTCACAAGACTTTTGGCCAGACCAGAAAACTCAGAAGAAGGAGAGAAAAATTGAGGAAGGGGAGCACGAGAAATAGAGCACAAAAGAGTGGGGAGATGGATGAAAAAAAAGATGAGAAAAACAGAGCACAAAGGAATGGACAAGAGAAGAACGAGAGCGAGACAGAAAAGAGGTTGGAGAAGAAAAACAAAACACGAAGGAGATGCAGAAGGGAGAGGAGAACGTGAGAGGATTTCTAGAGGGAGAGATCGAGAGTAGGAGAGAGAGACAGAGAGGGAGAGTGAGAGATGCACGAGCACAGAGACGGAGAGTGTGAGGAGGAGCAGGGAGCACAGATGAGAGGGAGAGAGGACCATAAAACAGAGAGAAGAGAAACTGAAAAAAAGAGAGCCAGAGATGTAGAACAGAGAGGAGAACGTGAGAAGAGAAGAGAGACGGTGAAGTAGGACAGGAAAGGAGGATTAGAATCAGCAAGAGAGAGAGGAAATAACATAGGAAAAAAGAGGTCGAGAGACGAGAAGAGAGATGAGAACCTGAGAGGATTTTCTAGAGGGCAAGGCAGAGACTAAGAACGAACAAAAAACAAGGTTAGAGTGACAGTGATGAGAGATATCCAAAAGGAAAGAGAAAATGGAGGAAAATGAAGTCTACCATGCCATGGTAGTGAAGGACGGGAATAGAAAGTTGAAGCAGAACATAGATTAAGGAGGACTGTGAGCACACATTCAAGGTTGAACCTATGCAAGAGGGTGCTTGGGACTTGTAGCGTGAGGTGCAAAGGTGATCTAGTTTGAGATAAGAGGGGACCAAAACAAAAGAGATGAACGTAGAAGGAAAGGAGAGAGGACTGAGAGCTTGGAGGAAGAGCTGATCAAAAACATCATCCTGTTAAAGGTTGTAGGTAAAGGTTATGGCTCGAATAATATTGTTCTCCTTTTCTCTTTTCTTTCCAAGATTTTATAGCGGACATAAGTTTGCATAAGTCCTTGACTGGCTATTTATAAAATATCCTATATAATCTTGCACCTCTTAATAGTTCAAAGGTATAGTTCTATTTAAATTTTGAGATTCTTGACACTTAGGAATTAATTACTAAGTTTTCTTACTAATTTCAAAAATTTGACAAGTTCTTCATCTTGTGATCTTTGTGTTTGCAAAATGGACTTGTGATGGTTTGTATTATAAGATATCCAACGTGTCTAATCTAGGTACATTTAGTTTTGCATGGTTGATTCTCAAATTGCGTTTCAAGCTTTTTAATTACCTTGTTTTAGAAGAAAGCAACATGTGGTAGCATGGTTTGATCTTTATATTAATCTTTGTTCATTTGTGGTAGTTTATTGATGCATATCGGTAATCGTGGCTCATAATACATATACCTTATGGTGCTTTATATTTTCATATGTTGTCATGATTTCCTTATAAGAGGCTTAAGTATAAAATGAAAAATATATATATATATATATATATATATTTATGGTTTATTTGTAATGTGAAATTTCAAGAGTCTTCGCAATCATTTAAATTTAAAATGATCTCATACTGTGTAAATCAATAAGATTTCGCAGGTATGAGGATCGATCTTGTATGTATTTATATGGGTTTCAAAGGCTTGTTGTTAAAATTAATTCTCTTTTTATAATAAATATTTAATTCTCATATGAGATTTCAAGAATCTTTGTAGATACTTAAATTAATCACATCATCGTGTGGGATAATATATCATTACAAATATCATGATTATCAATTTATATGGTAAATAACTAAATGAATTCTTGTAAATAAAATAATAATTTTTTTGTAATATTAATTAATTAAATTAATAAATTTAAATTATAATTATATTACATAATTAATCTTTTAGTCATGTGAGATTTTTGAATTTTTATAGACTTTTAAGATAATCATATTATCGTATGAATCAATAAAACTCTACAGATATAACGATTAAGTTTCTTTTCTAAAAAATATAAATATAAATTTTTTATTAAATAATTAAATTAAAAATGTATTCAAATAAATTTAGTTTTTTTATCGTGTGAGATTTTGAAATCTCCACAAATATTTGGAATAATCTCCTATCGTGTAAATCAATAAAGTTTTGCAAATATGAGAATGAGACTTGTGTATTCATATAAGTTCCAAAGGCCCATTAGCATATGGAGGAAAGGAAATTTTGTTGGCATAAATGAGATAGCCTTGTAATCACTTAAGAGAATGCGCTAAATTATAATATTTTTAATACCTAAAACCTTTTATAGGGATTGGCGCAACATCTTGTGCTTTCCTTAGTATAAAGATTTAAGGTACAAGTAAGCACACTTGCTTATTTAACACTTATTTATAGGAAAACAATGGAAATGATATTTGAAATTCATCCAATTCGACCACAAATCCTACATCTCTAAGTGAGATTCAATTTTTTTTAATTTGTCCCCTACACCAACACAAAGTTGTAAATAAATTGATACTATACTTTACATCTTCCCATCTCGACCCCCTACTTAATTTCACAATAATCATCCACTAGAGCAAGGCCATATATGGCAAACAAATGCATTTGCATCCATGCATTTTCATATCACATGCCATGATAAAAAGACTTTGAAAATTTTGAAATATTGGATTTTTTGGGTCCTTTACATGAGGTTATGGTCCCCCACCTTACTTACCACAATACCAGTCATTTTCTCGTTCCTTGCCTATTGTCATTAACTCATCTATTCAAAGCACATCAACATTTCACAATATACTTTCATACCCTTGCTTTGACCATAAAAAATGATATGGTAGATGTGGATGCTAACATTCACTTAGGGTGCATAGTTTTTCTGATCAAGTTGTGAGGTTAAAAAAAATAAAGAGGGGGGATACAAAAATCGAGCCCAAATGTCACACTTATCAATAAGATCATTCACCATTGAAGAGAGGATTCAAAGATGTTGTTTCTAACATGTCTTATTTTGGTTACATAATGTTTGTAGGGTCAAACTATATAACTGGAAATGATCTTATTTAACTTTGTCAATGTTGTAATCATACTTTTTCATTTGACACTCCCGTTTGTTTGTTCTACCCCTTGACCATAAAATTTCTCTTATCCTATGCGTTACACCCTTAATGCTTGGTATTCCCAATGAAAAAATCACAATGGATATGGAAAAGATCAACTTGAAGAAAAATGCCCCTTATAATGTCCACCTTGACATTATCAAAATTCACCACACAATCACAACAAACAATCATAATTAGGAGCAAAGATTGCTCTTAAACTCACATTATCTATATAAGGGTTAAAACTAATAATTTTGGAAAATTTAGGATCCCATAAAAACCCTTCAAATTTATAGTTTAAACTCAAACTTAATGATTTACAAAGGTGTGGGAAGCATGGAAAGATTTTGAGAAGCAAAACACTTCAAAATAAGGCTAAAAATATCATTTTTGAGTATTTTGGTCCAGTTGTGAGTCGTGGTCCATGCACCACGGCATGTGACACAAAAGGTAAGTTTTTTTGTTGTATCATGCATCGCGGCACATGTGTCCATGACAGCAATGCTGTCATGATAACTTTTCTAGATGAACTTCAAATGCACGCGATTTTCGCATTTGATGTCTGATTAGAGTAATTCAAATGCCCACGTGAAACTTATTCAATAAGCTAACTAATGGTATAAGTTTCGTTATGATCCAATATCGTATGAGAATTTTAGACATTCGGATGCAAAAGTTAGTTTTTAAAGTGATTTTCAACCATCCAAGTACCAAAAACTCATAACTTATACCATTAACCCACTGTGAGGCTTGAACTAAGTCTAATGGACCAAAATACACTTAAGTGAGCATTCAAACATACAAAAACCTGCCAAGTACAAAATTTGGCCACCAATAGCCATCTCACCCAATATGGCTAAAATACCAAATCAATACTATATATACTATTTGGCCTCTATTGTCACATAATACACTACAAATACATTATCATCACATAGATGAAACATTCCTTGCACTTGTAATAGTATTCTAGCCCATCACCACAAAAATTGTCACATTTAGTCGCATATCTCCGCTTGACCATACATAAATCACTTTCTAAACCAATATAATGAATATTACTACTTTCTTCAAAAACTAGACATTTTACAAATCAATACTCCACTTATTTTTTAAAATAGTTAACTTTTACAAAATTCATACATATATACATAACAAATCATGCAAGAACAACTTGAGAATAACTTATACAAGGTAATAAATAATGCAAATTATCTAGTTACCTCAACCCTTTTGTTACTAAAAGGATTACCTGTGGTACTAAATCTCTTCTTGTGTCAAGGTAAGTCTTCCCATTCCACAATCTACATAAAAAGTACTATATATTAATTTTCAATTAACACAAGCACTATTAGCTACCAATAACCTCCGAATTCTCCCACTTCTCACTCATATTCTCAACAAAGAGGCTTGTTAAGATTAAAATTTGTTCACATAATCCCTTCAAGCCTCCTTCTAACTCTATTACAACATAAAATTTAATATCTCAACTTATCACACTTCAAAACCCCATGATCAAATTAGGGCTTGATCCAACTTTCACCAAACAACAAAGCAACAACATATTGCCACATATCTAAGATTAATAAACCTAAATCAAACCTTTAGAGTCAATATAAACCTTTAAAACATAGACTCATAGCTTAAGTCAATCAAAGCAAATTCTCCCACTTTCAAATCCCATGGAAAATGAGATGAAAAGGTTAAGGGGAAGGGTAGGAAACTTACTCAAGAGTTTGAAAGCTCAATTTATCTTTAAAATCTTCTCAATGGTGCCCTAGTAGTGCCCAAAACTTGCCCCTTCGTGTTTCAGGTTTTCCACCACAAAAACTGTCATTTTTTGATCATTTTTAAAATTTTAAGTTGCCTGCTATGCCGTGCGTCGTAGCACACGCCACACAAGCTGTAGCTCATGACGCAGCAAGCAACAAGTTGGTTTTGCTCCCCCAATGCCTCCCAACTGATTAGACTTTCATCCTAACTTAATTTAGAGCCAAACATGACCCAAAAATCCAATTAGCAACCCAAAAACATATTTAAATTAATTAATCATATTTTCAACTAATTTATCCATTAATTAGTCAATTTTTCTAGATTTAAAGTTTTTAAATGTTACAGTTCTCCCCTCCGTTAAAGGAGTTTTGCCCCCAAAATTCAACAACAACCACAACACTTACCTAGGGAAACAGATAAGGATATTACTGCTTCATTTTGTCCTCTGTCTCCCAAGCAGCATCGCTAAGAGCCATTCCTTCCCACACGACCTTAACCAGTCGAATAGTCTTGTTCCGCAATTGCTTATCTTTAACATCTACTATTCATTTTGGCTCTGCTCAATAAGTCATATTCTCTTGTAGCTCTACCTCTTCAGGTTCAATCACAAAGATGGATTAGGTTAATATTTCTTCAGTTGAGAAACATGAAAAACATCATGAATCCTAGATAATTATGGTGGCAAGGTGATTTGATAGGCAACTAGCCCAACTTTCCTGAGGATCTCAAATAGACCCATGCATCAAGGATATAATTTCTTTGCTCTGATTGACCTCTCGATTCCTATCACAGGCGAAAACTCTTAGAAAAACATGGTCACCAACCATAAACTCCAACAGCCTTCGCTTTTTATCTGTATAACTCTTCTGCCTACTTTGAGCCGTTAAAAGTTTTTGCCTTATCATTTGAATCTTTTATGTTGTTTGATCCATAATATCCAAACCAATAATGCTTCTCTCACTCAATTCAACCCAACAAAGAGGAGATCAACATTTCCTTCCATATAATGCCTTATAAGGAGCCATCCTTATACTAGAGTGGAAACTATTGTTGTAGGCAAACTCAGCTAAAGGAAGATGGCTATCCTAGTTGCCTCTCAATTCTAAGGCATAAGCTCTCAACATGTCCTATAGAGTTTGTATAGTCCTTTCTGTTTGTCCATTAGTTTGTGGATGATATGCTATGCTGAATCTTAGTTCAGTACCCATTACTCTTTGCAATGCTTTCTAAAAGTTTGAGGTGAACCTTAGATCACGATAAGAGACAATGTCTTTTGACACCCCATACAATCTCACAACTTCTCAAATGTATATCTCTGCCAACTTCTCCAATGAATCACTTATTCGCACTGCCAAGAAATGGGTTGACTTTGTCAATCTATCTACAATCACCCAGATAGAATTATGACTGAATTTGGTTCTTGCTAATCCTAAAATAAAATCTATAGATATACTATCCTACTTCCACTTCAGTATCTCTAGTGGTTGTAAAGTTCCTGTTGGTCTTTGATGCTTGATTTTAACCTTTTAACAAATTAAACATCGAAATACAAAATCTATAACATCCCTTTTCATTTCAGGCCACCGCTAATACAGCTTCATATCCTGGTACATCTTAGTTGCTCTAGGGTGAATTGTATATCTACTCTTATATGCCTCATTCAGAATTTTCTTTCTCAAATCCTCCTTATGTAGTATACAAACCCAATCTCAATATATAACATATCCATCATCACTGAAGTCAAAGTCTGTGGTTTGTTTTTCCTCCACTTCTTCTCAAATTTTCAACAAATACTCATCCTCAAGCTATGCTATCATTAACTCTCTCCAAAACTCATTGGTAATCTTTGTGGAATGTAAACTATATAAAGTTAATTCTGGTGAGTCATGCTGAATATCCAAGTAGGATTCCAACAATTTGTGCTCTTGCACCATTAGACAAGCGACATGCAATAACTTTTAACTTAAGGCATATCCAACCACATTTACTTTCCCCGAATGGTATTTAAATTCAAAGCTATAGTCTTTTAAGAACTTCATCCACCTTCTCTGCCTCATATTAAGTTCCTTCTAATCCACTAAATATTTCAGGCTCTTATGGTTACTGAAAATACTAAACACTGCTCCATATAAATAATGCTGTCAAATCTTTAGTGCAAACACAACTGCGACAAGCTCTAAGTCATGGGTCGGGTAGTTCTCTTCATACAGCCTGAGCTGTTAAACGTATAGGCCACTACCCGCTCATCTTGTATCAACACACATTCCAGACCCTTCAGAGATGCATCTATATACACTTCATATGTCAATAAAGGATTAGGAATAATTAACAATGGTACTGTAGTCAGTTTCTCTTTCAAATTTTAAAATGCAATCTCACACTTGTCATCCCAAATGAACGGCTGATCTTTTCGTGTCAACCTAGTCAATGATGAAGTTATCTAAGAGAAGCCCTGGATAAATCTACGATAATATCCAGCCAATCCCAAAAAACTCTATATTTCAGTCACAGAACTAGGTCTCTCCCATTTCAACATTGCATCTACTTTATGTGGATCCACCGTAATCTCTTTTGCTGACACAACATGTCTTAGAAATCGGACCTCTCGTAGCCAGAACACACAATTGCTAAGCTTGGTATAGAACTTATTGTCCTTTAAAATTTGTAGCACAATCCTCAAATGCTTCGCATGTTGCTCTTCATCTTCAGAATATATCAGAATGTCATCAATGAATACTATAACAAAATGATCCAGGTAAGGCCTAAATATACGGTTCATGTAATCCATGAAAACTGTAGGCACATTTGTTAACCCAAATGGCATTCCCAGGAACTCATAATGCCCATATCTGGTATGGAAAGCTGTATTAAGAACATCCTCCAAGCACACTCTCAATTGATGGTATCCTGACCGTAAGTCAATTTTTAAGAAAATCGAAGCTCCCACCAATTGATCTAACAAATCATCAATCCTTGGTAAAGGATATTTGTTCTTCACTATCACCTTATTCAACTGTCTATAATCAATACAGAGCCGTAAGTTACCATCCTTCTTCTTAACAAATAGTATAGGTGATTCCCAAGGTGACATACTGGGTCTAATAAAGCCCTTTTCAAGTAACTTCTCTATCTACTTCTTCAACTCAACTAACTCCATTGGTGACATCCGATAATGTGCTTTTGAGATTGGTTTTGTTCCTAATACTAGGTCTATGGTGAATTCCACTTTCCTTTTTAGAGGAAAACTGGACATATCATCCATAAATACCTCAGGGAATTCATTCACTACCCCAATCTTATCAATACTTCCATCGTAGACTCCATGCACTGAGAAGAAAGTCATATAAGCCATACACCCTTATTGCACCAGTTTCTCTGCTTGCACCATTGATAAGAACTTATACTCACTAGGAATATTAGCCGATGCAGTATGTACTAATAACAAAACTGTCTTTCTAGCATAGTTCAAAGTGGCATTATTTGCCATCAACTAATCCATACTGATAATCATGTCCAAACCCTTCATAGGAATTTAGATCAAATTGAGAGTGGTTGAATGATTTTCAAACCTTACTTCTATATTCAAACATGCTTTACTAGTCATATCAAATGACCCAAATGGCATAGACATTTTAATGACATAAGGCAATTCATGCAAAGGGAGTCCTAACCTCTTTACAAATTCATGTGAAATAAATAAATGTGTAGCACCAGAATCAAACAATGCTTCAATTTTCTGCTCGTAGATAGAAATAATACCTTTTATTAACATCGGCGATGCTCTTACTTCCTCTTGAGATAATGTGTAGACTCATCTTAGAATAGTAGTTCTCTGCTCTGCCATCTCCATTCTTCCCTTTGGGCATTGTCTTGCTAGATGGCCAGGTTTCCTATATTTAAAACATGCCTAGCACCTCCTAGGATGTGACTACCTATGCTTAGCACATGGTAGTGATTGAGTTGTACTTAAGGTCGGGGCAAGCATATTAGAAGGCTGTTAGGATGGTTGTGGAGTACTATAACTTCTAAATCCACCCCTCTGAAATGTTCCTTGAGTCTGTGATCCTCTAATAAAACTCTTCTTGCCTGATGCTGCATAACTACTCAAGTCATAACTCGTCTTCTTAGAGACTCCTCCAGAAGGGCCTAGGGAGGATGAAAACCTCCTATGACTATCCCTTCTCCTTTTTGCTTCTACTTCCCAACCCCTTCTTGCTGCAATTCAGAGCCAATTACACATATCAACATATGTGGTTACTCCTAGCAAAGCAATCTGCTATCTATATTTAGGCCTCATCTTTTTCAAAAGCCTCTTGGCCTTCCCTCACTATCATTTGTCTCATTTAGATAAGTAGAAAATTCTAATAGCTGATTAAACTTTTGAATAAATGCTTCCTCATCAAGATCTCCATGCTGAAATGCATGGAACTCGGCCTCCTGCTCATCTTTGAATGCCGGAGGAAAATGGTGATTAAAGAATATTTTCTTGAATTGTTCCCATATTAGCTGACGTCCATCCATTGGTCCTGTGAAATTCCACCAGTGTTTTGCATCTTCAACCAGATACACTATGGCTATAATCACCTTCTATTTTGTAGAGCACGGTATAACCTCAAAGATGGTTTTAACTCTCTCTATCCATTTCTTCGTTCTCCTTCCTTTATAGTTCCATCAAAGGTTAGAGGGTTAAATCGAGAGAAAGTTCTCATGCTCAATCAATAGCCATCCCTTGAGCATCTCCATCTGCTTTTGTCCCAGATGATCCAGGTCTACTACCAGAACCATGAAATGGTTCCAATCTACTCTCAAGAGCTTCCTCTTGTCTCCTTTGTTCCTCCTTATGACCTCTATTACAAAGTAAAATATTGTGGTCTTGAACGGTTCTTTGAATATTCCTCATCATATCCCGCAATTCTTCCTAAAATTACATCATTACCCTGGGGCCTTTGTTGTTGTTCCACTTGAATCTCTAGCTATACCTCTGGTATAGGCCCATCATTCTCCAGTAAATTGTCGATATTTTGAATGCTTCTTCTAACAATTTTTCTCCCCTCTTAAGGAAGAAACCAAGTAGAGAAGGGGAATTAATGGGAAATAACGAAAATAAGACAAAGGGAAAGGGTTGTGTACATAAAATTGCCAACTAATGAGAATGAATGCAATGGAGACATTAGCACAACCAGATCTTATAACCCAAGAAACTGATACCAAAATGTAATGTTCACCTTGACATTACCAAAATTCACTACATATTCACAACAAACAATCATAATTAGGAGCAAAAATTGCTCCTAAACTCACATTATCTATATGGGTTAAAACTATTAGAAATGATTGCTCTTTTAGAAATGATTTTGAAAAATTTGGGATCCCATAAAAACCCTTTAAATTTATAGTTTGAGCTCAAACTTAATGATTTATAAAGGTATGGGAAGCATAGAAAGGTTTCGGGAAGCAAAATACTTTAAAATAGGGCCAAAAATGTTATTTTTGAGTGTTTTAGTCCATGCGCCGTGGCTCGTGGTCCATGTGACACAGAAAGGCAAGTTTTCTTACTGTACTATGCACCATAGCTTGTGCAAAATGCTCTACGGTGCACATATCCATGACAGCTATTTTGGACGAATTTCAAATACATGCCATTTTCGCATCCATGTTCGATTGAAGTGATTCGAGCCCCCACACGAAGCTTATTCAATAAGCTAACTAATGGTATAATTTTTATTATGATCTGACATCATATGAAAATTCTAAACACTCAGATGTAAAAAGTTAGTTTTTAAAGTGATTTTCAACAATCCAAGTACCCAAAACTCATAACTTATACCATTAACCTATTATGAGGCTAAAACCAAGTCTAATGGATCAAAATACACTTGAGTGAGCATTCAAACATACAAAAACATACTAAACACAAAATTTGGCCAATATGGCCAAAATACCAAATCAATACCATATACACTATTTAGCCTCTATTGCCACATAATACATTACAAATACATTGTTATTACATAAATAAAACATTCCTTACACTTGTAATGGTATTCTAGCCTATCACCATAAAAATTGCCACATTTCACTACACATCTTCACTTGACCATGTATAAATTACTTTCTAAACTAATATAATGAATATTACTACTTACTTAAAAAACTTGACATTTTACAAATCAATACTCCACTTGTTTTCTAAAATAGTTAACTTTTACAAAATTCATACATATATGCATAATAAATCATGCAAGAACAACTTGAAAATAACTTATATAAGGTAATAAATAATGCAAATTATCTAGTTACCTCAACTTTTTTGTTACTAAAAGGGTTACCGGTGGTACTAAATCTCTTCTTGTGTCAAGGTAAGTCTTCCCACATTACAATCTACATCAACAAGTACTATATGTTAATTTTCAATTAACACAGGCACTATTAGCTACCAATAACCTCCCAATTCTCCCACTTCTCACTCATATTCTCAATAAAGAGGCTTGTTAAGATTAGAATTTGTTCACACAATCCCTTCAAGCCTCCTTCTAACTCTATTACAACATAAAATTTAATATCTCAACTTATCACACTTCAAAACCCCATGACCAAATTAGGGCTTGATCCAACTTTCACTAAACAACAAAGTAGCTTTATATTACCATATGTCCAAGATTAATAAACCTAAATCAAATCTTTAGGTTCAATAGAAACTTTCAAAACATAGACTCATAGCTTAACCCAATCAAAGAAAATTCTCCCATTTTCAAATCTCATGGAAAATGAGATGAAAAGGTAGAGGGAAGGGGTAGGAAACTTACTTAAGAGTTTGAAGGTTCAATTTATCTTTAAAATCTTCCAAAAATGATGCCCTAGACATGTCCAAAGCTTGCCTCTTTGGGTTCTAGGTTTTCCACCATAAAAACTATCATTTTTTAATCATTTTCAAAATTTTAAGGTGCCTGCTATGCTGTGATTCATAGCGCACACAACACAAGCTGTGGCTCATGATGCAGCAAGCAACAAGTTGATTTTTCTCCCCCCAATGCCTCCTAACTTGATCCGACTTTTATCCTAACTCAATTTAGAGCCAAACATGACCCAAAAATTCAATTAGCAACCCAAAAACATATTTAAATTAATTAATCATATTTTTAATTAATTTATCTATTAATTAGTCAATTTTTTCATATTTGAAGTTTTCAGATGTTACACCCCTATTTCATGAAAATGTAAAAATAACAAAAAAAAGAGGAAAGAAAAAGAAAGAATGAATAAATTGAAGAAAAAGGAAAAGAAATAAAGAGAAAAAGATACTCATTAGAGAGATAAGATAGCATGCTCCATTAGTAAGTTAAGTCAAAGATATGAGGAATTTTTTTCTTTTTTCCTAAATCTTGAAGGAGTTCCCCCTAGTCACCCATATTAAGCCAAGAGTAGTGTTTCTTTCATTCACCTGTCTACAAATATCACCAAGGTAGGGTACTCAAATATATGTTTATACTGAATTTTTAAATTTCAAGAGAGGATCAAGACTTTCTTTCGCCCAATTGAAGCTTTTTTTAACCCTTCAAATTTATCCATTTAAATAATTTCTTTCCATTTCCAAGCTCATGAAAGTAAAGCTCAAGAGCTAAGAATAAATACAAAAAAAGAAAAACAAAAGAAAAACAAAAAAAGCACTTCTACTATTGAAAAATAAAAAAAAAAGATTATCTCTCCACTAGTATTCACTCATTGAATGTGACATGAAAAGGAAAATTGAAAAGGAAGAAAGAAAACAAAGAAGAAGCAGAAGAAGAA